CAATTTTGGTCCACACCCCGTAGGCTTGGCATGAGAAATTTGTATGATTGACGTGTGAGATTCTAATTTTCTTCCATGGTCCAACTCCAGCGGAAGACATACCTGTCAGTTGGGATTTAGTAGGGTTCTGCTCCACATCCACATGTCGTAGTCTTGAGTCTTTATTGTCACCACTCATTACCCACTTAGCAGGAAGTGAAGACTTTCGTAATACGGTAATACCTTTGCATGTGAACGCATGGTATATATGATCCATGGTATTTTCCTCTGATCATACTTTTATTTAAGAAATCAAAAAGGAAGAAACTGTGGTAGGAGGTGAAGGACAGTATGGGATTTTAAGACGAGTAAATTAATAGAGTAACTTATTGGAAATGGCTATTGATCAAAAAATCACTCAAAAACATACTACAAAAAAATTCATATTTAGTGATTAAATTATTAGTTATTAAATTTTTATTTTTTGTCACAATTAAAATTAGTGATGAATTGAAATCATTAATAAAACCTTTATCACTAATATTCTTGATGACAAATTTGATATCTATCACAGAAAAAGATTTTATAGTAATAAAAAAATTTACATTATTAATGAGTTATTTATAATAAATTTAATTATCACAAAAAAATATTCTTTGTTACAATAATTTTCATCACAAATGTTACAATTAAGTGACAAGAAAATAATCACAAATGCAATTGTGATAAAAAAAATTTAGCCATTAATTATTAAAATTGATATTAAATAAAAAAAATATTTATATAATTACAACACAAATATTGTAACAAAAATTTTGTCACAAAAAATTAATATATAAATTTATCACAAAAGTTTAATAAAAAATATTATTATTTCAACACTAATCAATTTTGATTAAAATTGATCAGACCCAAACTAATCTCAAGTTTTATTGTGGTTCACATGTTTTATAATGCAAAAATTTACTTTCTTAAATATTTCTCATCAATGTAGAATATATTTATAGTGCAAAACTTTATTCTCTTATGTGTTTTTTTATCGATATGGGATGTATTAATTAGAGAAAATTGACAAATTTTAGTGACAAAATATATTTTTAGTGATGAATTATTTGGTCATCATTGAATGTGTAAGGTATATGTCACCAATATTAAAATTCTGTCATAATTGTAATGAATTATAGTAACGATTTTTATCAATAAAAACTTATTTTATCTCTATAAATATTTTTTAGTAACGAAATACATTTTTTTATGATGAATTTTTTTTTTACCATTAAATATGTATGCATCTGTAATTAATTTTTTATATTTGTCACAATTGTAATAAATTATAGTGATAATTTTAAAATTCTTCACAAATTTTTGTCACTAAAAATTATTTTTCTTATAGTGACATATAATATAAAATAGATAGAATCCACGTGAGCTAAACTATTGTTATAATTGACTTAAAA